GAAAACAGCATCGAAGCCATCTCGTTGGTACGTTGCATTATTTCGACGAAGGCCTCACCGTTCGCTATACTTTATGTAAACGTGCGCGTAATTGCACGAGATTTTACGTTGTCGTCAGTCGCGACTGCGCATGCGCAGAACGGTACGACCGAGCGCGCGCAAGACCGGAGGATAATTTTGCGTAATCCCAGCTGACGACAAAATCGCGTTACAGTCGACGTACCACGGTTCGTACGCGGTAACTGGCTGTTTTACGGTTTTTCGAGGATTGATGGGTGGGGGGACCAACGTGACAAAAAAAAAAAGACACACGAAAATGCCACACAACGAATCCCTTGACGGGTCATCGCCTCTGGACATCGAAGCTACAAGATACAAAATCTTCGGCTTCTCCCATACCCCGAACAGTCCCTAGCGATGCTGTCCCTTGGTTACCGCTATAATCGGATGCGCAGACACACCTCGAGCTGTCTGCGCACGCGATGCAGCTTGCGCACCTTTAAAGGGGGGTCGCAATATTGACCATGGGTTATACGCGTACCCCTCACCCAGGTGGCACTCATACACAAATTATGGTAATGGCCGATCGATTCTAACCTCCCTGCCTCAAGGGTTACCTGACTGCCTGTCTGTCTCCGTCCAATTGGTCATCTTCATCCCTTTTCTTATTTCTCGTCTCTGTCCTCGTCTTCTCGCTACGACACTTCCTGTGCCGCTGGTATAACTTACCTTTGATATTTTGATCCGTCACGTAAGCCGATATATATATATATATATATATATATATATACGTCTGGTGCATATGGCCCCATGATAACTGCATGCATGCTGATGCTGATATGCATTGCCGATTGAATTTATGCCACTTTCCACACGGGATTATTGTAATCTATTAGATTGCCTTCTTGACGCGGTTATATTCATAAATTTTTACACGGCATATATCGCGTGTATGTATATATATATATATATATATATATATATATATATATATATATCTCGAATGGTTTTATCGATCGCTCCACTTAACACTCAATGAATCCGTTCGACTATCCTTAGGTAGAAATGCCAATTGACGTATTGGATGATATCACGGTTACCAAAGGATCAGAAATTGCCGTGCGTCAACGGCAACATCCTAAAGTGTCGCGAGAGTCTCCGCGAGCGGCGGGCATAAAATAGCCGTAGAAAGCAAATAGTGAAAGTCCGCCGTCGATACGTCCGTTGTCGTTCAAAAACTTACGGCATTAAGTATACGGGACAATAAATGCAAGAAGGACGACGGGCGCTAAGCAGGCCGCTACACGTAAAATTCAAGCGCTGCGTCTGGCGTGTCGATACGTACTCCGTAACCCACGTAGTCCGCGCGCGACACGAGACAGTCGCGTATGCGTTACTCGTATAGCACGCGGGCCAACATTGGTCTACGAGTAGCGCGACGTCTTCCCCATCAAGAAAGTATTGCCGATTTGTTTATGAATATAACGAGTAATTCGTCCGCTAGATGGCAGCGCCGTTTGGTATTTTAATCCGTTGTAACCCGATGGAATTTGAATTAGCCGCCACTGAGCCTAGTAGTGCCCTCTACAAATACGTAAACTAATCGATCGCCGCTCGTTCCTATCGCCAGCGGACAGCGAAGCTGACTAGACGTATGCAGGAGATAATAGACAGATAAATCCAGCTCCGAAATATAGGCGCACCACGTGTACATTTTATTCTGATCTTCTATGCTTTTCTTCTCTTCTTTTCCCTCTCTCTCTCTCTCTCTCACGGTACCAGGCGACAGGGCTTTTATAATAATTACGACTACAAGAATTCGATTCATCGTGAGGAGCTACTCGAGTAATTCGGTACGACGACCACGTGCCGGCAGATCAAACAATCCGAGAAGCCTGGAAACGTGCTCCCGTATTGACTTCGCCGAGCTGCAGCACAGAAAGAAGGAAACGACCCAGCGTCGCGTCTTTGCATTAATTAAGTGTTTATAATGAATGAGTGCGAATTGACCGTCCGTGTGCGCTTAGCGTGATCGCGCGGTGCGATTTCGCTGACCTATGGACTCGCCTTGGTTTAATGGCGACCTGCATAACTGGCTCGTTAAAGAAGAAAGGTATTTGCCAAGTTTTTTTATTAACGGTACAATTTTTCTTTCTATTGCATTCAATTTAATATATTTGCGTTTCGAAAAGAAAATGACTTCACACCGTCGGACGACGCGATACGCGTTATGCCTTTCGTACACGAGTAGCAGCAACGACCCGGGGTCTGGGACACGTGTCTATAGCCCATAGGCAAAGTAACCATGGTTACGTCTAGATGCATCTCCGATATATGCAAAATAGATATGCAGATAAATTTCTGTGAAGTTGGTATAGCATGCTGGCCACCAGTGACGTGCACGTCGTGTTCTGTGACACAAAATGCACGTATGCGAACGTTTGAAATGTTCGGCGAGTACGAGTGACGTGCGCGCACGTACGAAGCCATACAGGAGATATCGTGGATAGCGCGAGAGATTGGTAAACGCGGGTAGTGGTTGGTGGAGGAGAGAGGGAAATGCTGAGAGATTAAGAGAGAGAGAGAGAGAGTGCGTGTAACGAGAGATCTAAAGGGCAAGGACGCCTAACGTCGTATTCGACTTGTATGTAATTGCTTGAAAATGCATCGGACTGCATTCTGCATTATGGCTACTAGATGCACCTGGATATATATATATATATATATATATATATAATTGTTACAATGGCAGTACGTTCGGTAATGTAATACGACACGGTAATTGCTAAAGATACAGTAGTGACTGGGCGGAGAGGAGTCTAAGGAGACGCGGAGGCGTCGCGACGCTCGATCTCATCGATACTTCCATATACTCGTACGAACCGTGAAGTTTTGCTCTTTTGCCAGACAACGTCCTTCGACTCTGTCGAATGTCTGAACTCTTGAATTTTTTTTTTTTTTTTTTTTTCCCCTTAACGTCACGCGTTTCCTTGTCCGTAACAAGTAACAAAGCGAATCGTCCCGGCAGCGCAGAGGCAACAGTGAAACGCATCGATATCGTCGGGTACACGAAGAAATACGCGTTCGGCCCGCTCGTATCTATAGATCTCGGGAGCTGGCCGATATGATGCTGCCTTTTATTTAACGGACAATGATAAATGTCGTCGCGATACTCGCGAGCGTGTATACGCGAACAGGGACAGTTATACATTTGGTCGTTTTACGTCGGGCAATAAAAGTTTGGAAAGTGCCGATAAATCGGGACTTCGTTAGTCGAGCCGTATACGTGCCTTCGTTCTCTCTTGATATTCAATACGTATGCGTATACATATATCCCGACTACCAAACCTAACCCACCCACCTACTCAGCGTCCTACTCGTTTCGCGCGAAAAGGCTTATCGCCAGAGTCGCGCTTCTCGTTTGTCACGTACGAAAGTGCGAGTCCAAAATTACGATAGTCATATCGCAGGAAGCTTCGAACGACTTCGTTAGGGCAGACCCGGCCCATTTCGTTGGGGTCCAATTTTTGGGCTAACCCACTTTTAACCCAGTCGACACGGCAGTCTCTAGGTCGGGTGGGACTGTCTCGCGTGGGGTTGGGATTTTATTTTCTGAATTGGGAGTGGGGTGGGGGCAGGGGCAGGGGAAGGTCTTTCTCAAGGGCAAAATGCCCTGGGAGACTATGAAGAATTTTGGAAGAGCGTGGACAGGCGTGGATGAGCGTTGCTCAGGGAAAGACTGAAGTGCCGGTGGGTTCGGTGAAGAAGGTGCATACGAGCTCAGAGTAGGGGTAGGCTGTATGACAGTGCTTGGGTTAAAAGCACTGACAGGTATATATATATATATATATATATATATACATACGGTTTGCCAGCCAAGCTGGGATATCTATGCACATAGCCGCACAAAGCACTGTGACTACTAGACAGGGGAGGGCATGGGGGTACGTAGGTACGTACGTGGACTGGTGCGCGGGTATCACACGTATGGCGGCAGTGATGAAAGAGTGGGAAAAGAGGCGGGTCTCTTGCGGCGGCTCATATGTGGCCACGCATGCACACACTTTAATAGGAGCAGCTACGCTCACACTGGACGATCCTCGTACTCACACTCTCCCGTATACAGAGCGTAATGGGGAGACGGTCCCCCGACACGCACTCACGCACTCACGTATCACCAGCACGTACGCACGCACTCGCACACCCCGACGTGACACACGGCTAAAGCTCACACTTACCTGACAAGATGTAAGTTCAGAAACTGGAAGGTGCCACTTCTGCACAGTCCAATACAAGACACCGAACCGGAAAGTTCGTTCAAAATTAGCCCGAGCTACCAGTTGAGTTCGCGGAGGAGCGAGGTGGCGAGGGAGAGAGAGAGAGAGAGAGAGGAGAGAAAAATAAGAAAAAAGGGAGAGAACGAAGAAAAAGTACAAAGTGCCGAGAGAAGAAGACGTGGCCGGACGATAAGGAATATATAAGTCGGAGTCGAGGGAAGGAAAGAAGAGGGAAAAGAGGGGAAAAAAAAGAAGAAAATTTGGAAGAGGCCGAACGAGGATCGCGAACTTCGGGACGGATTTGCGGTGTTTACGGTGGAAAAGAAGGACTTCGCGACTGAAAGGCGAATTCCGTAGATACCGAAGAAAGTGTCGAGTCCGCATGAAGGTTCTGTGAAGTTTCTGCTCCGAGAGAGGGAAGAAGAGGAAAGATGTGTGTCGACCGACCTCGGAGGGGTTGAGTGATATTTTGTTTTTTGTTTGTTGTTGTTCTCGTAATAATTTACACGGGATTCCGGAACACGAGGTTTACCTGCTGCTTGTGGTGTATACTCGATTCATTGAAACTTCGTGAAGCTCGCTGTGTGCTATCTGGAGAGAATTGGCGAAGGCTCAAACGGACACATGTGAACACGACGTGGCAAGGCCTAGGTAATCTTGTTTTGTATACGATAGATTTACGATGGTGTTTTCTAGCTAACCGATGATTAAGGGACGTATGCGTATTGGATTAATTATCATATTAATTGATATATATGCTTTATACATGGCATACTCCGACCACGGAGTTTAATCGACGTTTATTCGTAAATTAATTGACTTCCCGTCGCGAACGCACGGCAATAACGAAGGCTCACATATCGGTATGGCAAATCTTCGGAATCGGCCGTTTAACCGTAAACGGCTTACGAGCACTTTGCATATTTCGAGGAAACCAATCAAGACCATGATTCTTCGGCTATTTCGTTTCGATCGCTTAAAGACGTTCTGGTATTTTTGAGGAAATCGTTCGTATCCCTGTGATACGGTGCTTTACCGTGATAAGGTTAATTTTGAAAATTATTTATGTCTTCCTCGTCACTCGTTACGGCTATTCTCAATAGCGTCAAGGTACTCGTGACGAACGTGAAATTTCATGTAATCGATAAAACGGAAAGCTCCATAATTCTAACGAAGCCATGAATGGGAATTCCTCGACTCCTTAGAGTCGATTTTAAATGTTTTTTTCTTCGCCTCCCGGTATAACTATAAAAGTCCACCACGTGTCTCTTCGATAGGACCTTTACGCACTTGGCTCCTGCCGTCTGTAAGGCTATTGGTGTAAAGCGTCATGGGTCACCCTATGGCGAAGGCTTCTCGAATCTCAAATCTTTTTCCATTTATTGGTAAACTCAGCCTCGTTTACGGAGGACCAATCCTGATCACGATCAGGTAGTAACTTGGACAATCGAATGGCCGTTGTCAGTGGCATGTTAATTAGGTGGGATAAGTGAAGACGTGGAACTAAAAGAAAAATTGTAGAATGTCATTTAAAATTCTTGTACGGAGTTCGCATCTTCGAAAACAACTGAGCAACTATTAACGTTAGTATATATACATATATATTCTTTGCGATCTATTATACAGACCTGTAGTAGTCAATCTCGTAGTCTGCGTGGCGAGTCTAGCCGATGGGGTTCGAATTTCCCATGAGCAGCCCTAATTATATCCATGGGACATTCGTTCCATTATGGTTTACGCATTGGGCATTTGCTAGTTACCCCTTTTATGCTAAGTGAGAGCCAAGGATGACCCTTAGGATGGGTGACCGCCGATGGTCTACAGACCGGACATTTCCCGTGGTCATATCCCGACCGTGTAAGACCCATACGAACCCCATAGGGTCCACTGTCCATACAGGGTGACCCTTAAAATCCATTCTACCTAAATGTCCAAGGTGTAGACACAGTGCGTGCCGAATGAACTCTAAAGATTAAAATGATGAAAAGTATAAGTAAAAAATGAAGAATAAAATATAAAAGAATTCTTACGAGAACGTAAAGTCGATATCTGAAAAAAAAATTTTGGATTTGAAAATCGCGCTATCCCCGTAGCTCATGGTTACGTAAATGTATAACGCGCGAAAGGTCTCAGCATACTTTGAATCCCAGCTTGAACTTACATGTAACATGTACATATAGGTACGCGGGTAACGATGTTGGTAGAATCTTTTGTTATAAATCTCACTGGCAATCCGATCGACTTAATAGTACGATCGTTAACTTAATTCGCGGAATATCCGTGTGGCGAACTTTGTCGCCATTGACGTTCCTCTCTTGTTAGAGCGACAATGGCAATAATGGCTGGTCTATTCTTGGGCAATGGTATAACGCGGGAAAGAGGGGTCAGAGCGAAATAGAAGTAAATGCACACCCGTTGTGCATTGTTAGACACACTCGCTACTTTAGTCCTTACAAGCGCTTAGACGCGCTGACTCGAGGTGTGGTACGGGACTGAAGTACTAAAAAATAAAAAATAAATTTCTGCCGGGAATATTTGAATCCTATTGGAATGTACAGTACCGCGTGATAATATTCTGTAAGGCGGGTCGCGAGCGAAAATAAGAATTTTTGTTCGTTCGATATAAAATAAAAATCCAATGTTTATGAACGCAAATTACCAAAGCAATCAGGTGCTTAATTAATTTCTTGAGTATTTTATCCCAGCATAATATCCGTGATTATCAAGGTATTTTACATGGATAAAATTTCAATGCTCACAGGCTCGTTCCATGTACTCGGGTAAAAATTGTTAGATAGGTGTCCAGTACTGTACAAGAAATCCTGACTGGTCCTTCCTATATATCAACGAGGATGAAAGATTAAACCTGCAGGACCGTTATAATCGAGTGAGGATAAGAGAGAAAGATAGAGAGGATAAGTGGGTATGCACAGAAATTGATATTTAGCTATATGAGAAAAATATATCCAGGAAGTTAACGAGCAATGATTTGTCGAGAGACGACTTCATGAAAACAAAAAAAAGAATGGCTCCTACGTTATTCTTCGTACTTCGTAGAGTTATAAGGTTTACGAGGACGTCGCGTTATTTCGCCAGGTAAACGACGGCGTAGCCGGGAGTCATTGGAGACCGAGTCCGTAAGACATTGAATTATGCGTAAAATCGAACTAATGGAAGGTCGCTATACGTACCGATTAGCCGAGAGGTGATTCAAGCCGAGTTCATAATGGCTCAGTGAATTCAAACTGGTTTCTTCGTATAGCGCCGAAGTTCCGCGTGAAGCCTTATCACGCGTCTGAGATATACATGCCCAAGATGTCTATAAGTTGACACGTGAATTCTCTCTCTGAAAATATCACCGACCAGAATCCATTACCTACTGGTATTAACGTTTCAATCTGTAACGACAGCAGAAGGATATACCAGGCTATACTACATATGCGCAAACTACGGTACCTTATTGGGAGGTGAACCATGTATAATAATATTTCGTGTGCCGCGTTCTCATCGAAAGTTAACGAGCTTATCGACCTTTCTCGTCCGTCGCTGACGCTAATTTATAATCCATCGGTCCGCCGCGTAAGAGGTGCAATTAAAATCGTACAACACACGATTACCCAATACCGCAGTCTTTTGACGCTCCTAGACATTACTCGTGACGAACGTTTGATCGAGGTCCTAAAAAAACATGTCAAAAAGTTTCCAATGACATACGGCTAAAAAGTTAATTCAGTTCCACTTACCTGGCGTTAGCATAATTCAAAATCACCGGATCTATCCGGTCCTTTGATCGTATAAAAATATATCTCGTATCACTCTCGTGCCGGGCTGTTCGTACAGTCAATAAAAACAATACGCACGTACATAGGACCTATAACAGAATACAGAGCAATAACGAGGATCTGAGCTTAGGAGTTTGATTTCACAGTAATACAGACACGTAATGCCACAGGCTTACCAATAGATATATTTACCAAAACCTGTCCACAAACTCGTACTACATCTGCCTATAGATGATAGATAGATAAACACAGATCGGCGTATTGTACGCTCGTAGGTATATACATAACCACTATATATATATACGTACACACAGTGAGCTCCTATAATGGGTATGCAAGTGGCGAAGCAGGTTCCATTCATTCACGTTCAGAGCACTAGTGGCCTACCATTTACAATTTCCCATTTACCATTTACCATCCTCCTGTTGCCGCGCACGTGCTGCCTGTCGCTCGTTGCTCTCCGGTTGTTGCTGGCTGTTTCGTATTCTCGCAGTACGCCAGACACAGAGAGAGAATGAGAGAGAGAGAGACGTTCTTCCATACACTACACGATGTTCCACCTTCTAATCCAGTACCGTCTGCGAGTGACGAATTTATGTAATGCGAAATTACATGGTGATTCGATTCCTTGGAGAAATGATATCTAGCTAGGACGGCACGCGTTTCAAGATGGCCGATCTTGTTAGATCCTGTGTAGATTTGGCGAGCGTGTTAGAAAACACCGAGTTGTCACCATCGTAGAAACTAATAACTCGACGGGAGATTGGTATGCAGATACACGCATTTAACAGTGGAATAATAATTGCACAATGGACGCAGTACCTTGTTAATTATTAATCGGCAAGTAGCCGTGACGCGTTCCGTGTCTTATCGCGAGCGTAACGGCCGGTCTGTTGATTTTACGGCACGTGCTTCTCCCGCTCGACGACGGTGGCGCTCGCGTCGGTTCTAATGATAAAAACGTCACTACGAGAACGGGGCACGCTTCTTATTCTGTTTAGCCTCACAAACGATCTATTCTGTCTTGCTATACAGTCAGATATATACCGAGTCGTTTCGCTCGACGCTTTAAACGAGCAATGTCACGCATCGAATAATCTCCGGGCGTGCGTAACCAAGCAAGAGTGTATCCACACTTTTTTTCAGACTTCTTACATGTCTTCTTATCCCCGTAGCCCCGTAATGAGCCAGTTCATTGAATTATTTGATAGCGCCGCTCATTTCGTATACACATTTGGAACGATAATTTAGAGGAGACTTCCGAGGCGTAAGTGTCTTCCTTAATTTTGTTATATTCGACTGGATATTTATTAAATTAAAGATATTTCGTCGTATCGTAAATATATAGACAGCCAATAACGGTACACCTAATTATACAAATATTTATCATGGCGCGATGCTGCCTAAAATTCACGTTATTAACGGATCGATTAATCGATCAATTGGTACGAGTGGCTGTTTGCTAATTAAGGTGTGCACGTAATTATTCGTAAGAGCTCAGGAGGAAAGTAACTTGTGTGAATTTTTACGCAGTGCATAAGAGGTTATGTTAACAAGAGCCACTCGTGGGGTGGCTCGTGGGTACAATGAGACAATGACGTTTTGTTTATTGTACCAAGGTTTTCATGGCATAGAGGTGCAGGGAGGTGTGAAAAAGGATAATAATATAGAGTTACTCACAGTATATGCGTATAGTAGCAAGGTGACGGGAATATTTCATATTGCTATTAGGTACCAACCAGCCAGCATCCCTTATCCCTTCCTCGGTCCAGCACCTCGCACGTTTTGACTCTGCGCCACGGGGGGTTCCCCGGCTCCCGTAGGATCGACTTGCCATTATTCTGGCGCACGCCTGTACGGGAGGTCCAGGAAGTCATTGGCAAGGGTAGCAACACAGAGGAGTCACTTGAAAGTAACACGAGGTATTGCTACGGTTAGTTATTATTGGCAGTACAATGACGTAACACGCGTTTGAAAATTTCAAATTTACTCACGAACTTACTTGCTCGTACCGATTAACTAAATTATCCCTTTGACTTTAGCAGAAGCAATTTGCTCTATCGACTTTCGCCAAGTGTCACGTGAACATGGGAACGTACGCCAGTGCCATCTATGAACGTCACAATCAATAGCCATTACGTTCACTTGTACGTAACGGTTCGACGTTATCATATTTTCATGCGATATAGGTTATGTTAATTGTCTTCGTCCTGTTGGTAACTTTAAAGCCTTGTAGGAAGTCCTAGTCTCGCTTATCCTATCGCCGTCATGCCAGGTAGGCGTGTTGCTATCTGTAGATAGAGTGCGTTCAGCTTTACATCGAGAACTGGCGTAGTGCATTGTGGGTCCGTCATGGACTGGCAATTCGGAGACGATGCAGCAGTCGGGATTCGACAGGGTGAAAGACCGTTTTTCTTTTTAAGTTCTTACCTGCTATTCGGTTGTTACGTAATATTTTCAATATTTACATAACCCAATCGATATCTAGCTCTGGTATACTCGCAATGGAAATACGTAGACGATTTAACGGCGATCCTGGGGAGTCTAGTGAGATTTCCGGATATTCGAAATCCGGTCTGGACTGCCGTTTCACTTTGAAAAAGACCGGTTCGCACTGGACAAACACGTATAGTACGTACTGTCGATTGATCCCTGGCAAATTCTTCACTGTTGGTATAGGTCGGCTATCCCCAACGTACTTTAAGATGCAGCTTGTATACATATTATTATGCAGATGCAAACTGAAAGCAGGTTCACAGAAATTAATTTTTCCTCGAGGATCCTGAAATCGTATACATCGAATTGGAATACACTACGGTCTCCCAGTGTATCAGGGTGGCCCTATGCAAATTGAGACTTTAGATCCCGTCGATATTCGAGACTCGCACGACTGCAAGTAGTTCCCGAAGGATTTACACCCGAGAACGATTCCGTTCCAGGTGTACCAACCACGCATACCCGTACGAGTATACAGAAGACCGTGAGAGAGTAACCTGTCGAACAGAGAATTATCTGTCGAAAAATAAAACAAATATGAGCCCAGTGGTTCGATTAAAAAAAAAAGGTCCAGAAAGGAGGGGTTGACGGAGGCTTCGATCCATCAAAGTCACTCGGTCACCCCACTGGCCGTTGGCCCGGTTATATTTTTACAAGCGTGTCCAATGTCCTCGAAGAATATATTACTGCCTAGCTTCTCCGCTGCCATATGTCTATCCAGCATATAGGTCGATGCCGTGATACATCCGTAGATCGAAGACTTGCTCTCCATCCGGGTAAAAAAAAAAAGTACCAGATATCGGACCATTTCCTAGATGAAGTATCTCACGTGGACCATATCGTACAGCGTCCTATCCTTGTCACTGATAGCTTTCTCACGAACCACCCTGGCCGGAAGTGTATCCTCGTTAGACGGATCCCAATCGCCCTGTCAAATTCTTACGAGTCAATTCGCATTGCCACCACACGCGTATAAGTCGAACCAGTCCTGGAGCTAACAAAGTCGCAGGACCAGTGCTGGCTCTATTGAAATGCGTGCCTGGGGAGACGCGGGGAGGGACCAGCTTCAGGGTGGTTCCTATGGTCGCGTGGACAACACTCCCACAGAATATTAAGTGTCTTCTCTCCATATGCACTCCGACTGACTAAGAGGAGGAGGCATTGAGGTAGGTTGCAACTGCTACCAGCACGTCCGATAGGATCGATTATCGTAGTGGTCTTGCGGTGGGTATACGATGGATCCACGTAGCGTGACAGGAAACTAGACACGAAGCAGAGTTCACGCGAGTGAATCTGTTAGCCAGGTTCTTCGACTATTTTTCTTTGGCACTTTGACGCCCGAGGTACATTAGCATAGGACAGAAGTGCTCTTATCCCCTATAGTGGCTACCTGAGACTCCGAGCTTTGCTACCCATGGATATACGTAGTTTATACGTGGGGTACTGAGAAGGTACCTGGTGGGGCACGCGGGGACAGTGTCAGAAGGTATGACGGATAGACGGTAACGTCTATGGTCCCGCATACGATCGGTGGATTTTAATGAAAAAATTCACCAAGAAATTTTAGCCAAGGGAATGCGGTTACTCCGACGGCAATAACGGAACGTGCATTTCAACTTGTACCGTCTTCTCATTTTTATCCTTAACCTGACAGCTCATTCGGATTCCTCTTCTTCGCGGGACCCCCCTACACGGCTGAAACGCTTCTGCATACTGACCGAATTGTTGTCTCGGTGGGCACGAATAGGATGAAATTAAAGATCCATAGGAGAACCGGATGCGCAGGTGAAGTCTCGGAACACGAGGGGGGCCTTACCCTGTGTATTTGCATATGTATCTACTGTTCCTTTCCTGTCCCAAAGTATTTTCGATACGAATTCTCTTACTTGAATGCCACTACTCGGTTACATGGACTGACATATAATCCACTGGTTATATGTATATATATAGTTACGAGGTATATATATGTATATACATAGTTCGCATTATCCTGCAATTCACGTGTCGATTGTCTCTTCGAATTTATCTGAAGCACGAGGCTTTTTCATCCTACCCCTCTCGCCCCTCCTTCGGGACTCTCGGAATGCCTCGGAGCGCAATAACTTTTTAGCGTTTTGAAAAATGTATAGCCAACCCCCTGGCAAAAAAGTCGGATGCCAGTCCTCCGCTCGGGAGTGACGTACAGAACCGGATGGGACCAAAGGAACGATCCCGAAGAGAGAGACCTGGATGGTATTTGCAGTGCGTTTAGCACCCGCGATTGCGATCGTCTTTAACAAATGACTCGGTCTAGCGTGGAGGAAAAAAAGAAAGAGAAAATATGCATAGAGACACGGAGCAATTTCGGTACCGAGTTCCACATAATAATACATATAGGATTGGACCTATGCAAACATACGGAGAGAAAAATATTTGCACAGGACAACTCCTCGCTCATTATCGGGGTGAAGAACTCTCAGGCAACGGTTGTCCAGGTGCAGGTAGACCCGGAGAGAGGGAGATTGATTCGACATGCATAAATTAGAGGATAAGCCTTTATTCCACGAACGGCCTGGATCGGGATCGGGATTGGAATTGGGATGCGCCAGTAGACGAGAGAACAGTATAAATTGATGACTCTGGGCAAAAGGTAGGGTCTATAATAATTAATCTTCTGGCGTAGTTGCGTGCAACTGCATCGTTCCCATCTGCTCCCATCCGGCCTCCTTGTACGCAGCATCCCTTGGCAGCATTGCCAACCTACTGTTTGTACAAGGATTCGACGTCGGTATCCGATCCTGATCTCATGAATGTCATTAGGATCATCGAGATTTTTTTCTCCTCGGTAAGAATTTTCTCGCGACTATTGGGACACGTTAGTTTTAGCGCGTTAGGGTATCGTCAAATGTCAAAGGTCAATTGGTCCGCTGGACCTGTTTTGCATACGCGGACTTCATTATGTCGTCACTGCCACGTGTCGCGTTCGAATGTTAATTTTAGTAGAGTCGACGCGCCTTTGGGCAACCCTGAAACATTTCCACTATCGTCACGGACCAAGGTCGGAGCTTGGGATGTCATCAATCGACTCGCTCGCAATGGTCCAGATCGTTTTAACGATATACCTTGATTTTTTAATCTTACAGACGGCGAAGTCGCACCGAGGAGAATTCAGGTGGGGTCGACGAGGAGGGACAACAGGGCTACGGGGCCGTGGCGGGCACGCGAGAGACAGAGGACGAAGAGGAGCTGGGGGCCGAAGAGGCGCAGTCGCTGCAGAACGCGGCGGTACAGGGCGAAGCTGCGGACCCTGAGGTCCATAAGAGGGTTGCTGCCGTGCAGGTGCAGGTGCAGGGCATGGAGGGTGACTGGAGGGCGTACTGCGAGCATCCCTTGTCGGTTGCTACGGCGGCAATGTTGAATCTACAGCAGCAGCATCAGGTTCCCGCCGTGTCCGGACACAGCGATGATCCGGCAGCCTCCTACGTTTATGAATATTATAAATTACCAGAAAAGACGGCGGATGTCAAGCTGCCGCCTACTCACGAACTCTGGTCCACGTAAGTCCGTAGAAATGACTAAAGGAAACGTGAGCGTTTCCTGTTATTTTTTTTTACTTAGATATATACTCCCCCCTCCCCCGAAAATACAGATCAGAGAGGAAGACGATTACACGGGAATAAATTTTACTTGTATTTATGTTTCGCGAGATCACTTCCGGTCCATTTGCTCGGTTTACAAACTCCCGTGGGTCTTGAGCTCGCTTCGCTGGGAAGCTTGAAAACTCACCCTAATTTCATCTGGGCTTCTTATTTTGCCCTCCATCCACGAACCCCAAGCACTCCCCTGTATAACCTCTCGGGTAGAGGTACACACTTACCCGGGTTACCCCTAACATCGGTGCAGTCCCACTTTTTGATTTATATCAGCCGCTTAGCATATTTTGTAATTTACTGTTGAGAATCATCAACGTACGAATTTGAAAGATCGCCTTGGCTACGCGGTAGTTTCTGTTACATCGGCATGGGAGAGAAGCCGCGCTATCTTCCCCAGCATCTCATACAGATACGATCTCGACAATTTGTACCACGACGGATCGTTAAAACTCCCGCCCATAGGTGGATACACGTATACCCGAGGCGCGCACTCATCCGAGAACATGATTTTAATCCAATTTTCATTGTTCCTCGTCTGCCTATCTATTCCGACAGGGACTGCCTAACCTAAAAGTTTACATGTGCCACGTGGAACAGCGATAAAAAATACAGGAGAAACGGTAAAGCGCAGACACACCGACAATTCTCACTGGTCAATTCCCTGTTAATCTAACCTATCCACTATTCTACGCACGACGGATATCCACTAGACGGCGCGGCGCGTCCACGTTTCGCGATAGAACTTTACCGTTGGCGCGCATGCGCACACGAAAGTTATGATCCTCTTATACGTTCGGCATTTCCTCCTATGGAGACGTTATTTTCTTTCTACCAATTGACAAACGTTAAAGATCGTCCTGGCATCGAAGTTAATCGCCGGTACAGAGTGCAGCTGTATAACGGTCGGGAGATGGTTGCGTAATAAAATAGTGAACGGCTCGACGTAACCTTAAGACAAAATGGACGACCCTACGATGCCGTCAGTACGAAAGAATGAAGCGCCATGAAGATACGTCCTAAAGGCAGTGTCGTTCGTGGCTGCTGACACCAGAGGGCAGTTAACACACACGTTTTTAACGAGCACGATAGTGACGCAAAAGCGTGGCATATTCATCGCGCGAATAAACGTCCTTTCGTATGAGTCAGAGTGAAACGACGAAGTTATAATGGCGCTGACTGCAAGTGTACGAGAAGATAAAGAAAAGAAAAGAAAAGAAATAAGAAGCGACATTAAAAGGCGAGCTAGCAACCAGAGCTGCAACATTCTTATTATTTCGTTTCACGGTTATCGTTACGCGGAGATCTACTTAGGTAGATGACCGTGCGCGCTATCTACTCCTGTAACCTTTCACCCCGCGACGGACCGTGTCACATCGTAAAACGAAACGGCCTGAAACCTGAAAGGCTGGCCCGAAGCCTAGGAACCTCATTCGCTGATGTCTCATGTTATGCTCGACACGTAGTACGTGGAGCACGTTCTCGTTTATTTAAATTTACGATTGTAATATTATTACGAGTCGGTGACAACGGCAGGGTTCAGTTCCCGTTTCTCCAGGAACGAGAGAACCAGCCGCAAGGAGGGTCACAGAAGTCGCCGGGGCCACGCTCGTTACGCACGCTCGACACATACCGCGTTCGTGGTAGATACGTGCGTTTTGGTACACCCGCGGATAGAAGCACGTGTTACACAGGTGCTTAGGTACATAACTCGGTAAGAAGAGGAACAAAAAGGTACGGAGCGTAGAATAGGAATCAGGAACACTGAGGATTCGGATATGAGTGGTACGAGAGAGAGATATGTGGATGAGAGAGAGAGAGAGAGAGAGAGAGAGAGAGAGAGAGAGAGAGAGAGAGAGAGAGAGAGAGAAGTCAGAAGAATAATTAAAGAAACGGTCCGAGCCATGGTGGCCGCAGCGCCACTTAGTAAGACCTGTATTTCGAGTTTCGTTATGGCGCGTGCTATATAACCCCCCTAACTTACAAAACACGATCCGCCTGATTTCCGGTTTGAGAAATGCCGATTCCGGTTCCGAGCTAGAGACGCGCTGCGTACCGCAATACCCGACTGCAGGTTTTAGGACTCGCCTGTGTGCTGTACGTTTCACGCAGAGTACGTGTGCCTGACCCTTCTCTTGACCCCGATGTGCCCCCGCGCTCCACGCGGCCACATACTTCCTACTTGTCGCCAATATATTACTCGAGGATTTGTACAGTTGCTACAGGTTGTTCCAGTCCGGGGCCCATACTTCACTGATAAGTTCAACGACGACTCGAGCTTGAATAGACAAACATGTATCTTTAGGTTATTCACCGTAACAGATACCGCGGAGACTTACGAGGTCTGGTTAAAAAAATTTCAAATTTCCCGCCAATACCCAAAGCGGACCACTGTAAAACCGGGATCACAGTTCATAAATCGTTGGCGCATTGATATCGGCATGATTTTAATTAAATTTTCCATGCGAGCTTGCCTCTATATAAATACTCGTAAAAGGGAAGAATAATTCGGTTCAGCTGGGTATAGCCAGATCGTGAATAGGCCTTAGTGCAAAATCATACCGTCTCGCGGATTAGCATTGCATTACCCATTTGGCCGTATAGCGTTTATACGTATGGATCCATTTCATTTAAGCCGAATTCATAGGGTGGCCCATAGCTTCGGGTTATGACAGCATCTATTACTATTCCAACGTACACGTACTCGGATCCATTCTTCGTGATGGTTGTCGAGTGTATTCGCGTTTCCCTTACCTGCAGCTACGTGCCTACGCATACCTACGCAGAAGTACGCATAGACACGGAGGAGACGAAAGAGATCAGGTATCAAGTGAAAAAAAGGCCCATTGTATGGGAGCATCTGACCGTAGGTAGGTACCACACTGCAGTGCTTGCAGCCAGTGCGAAGACCCGCTAGCTAGAGAGAAGAATGAAAAAGATCACATATACCGAAAGCGTTGGCAGTTTATAAGGGTCCCTGCTTTGTGGATACGTATTATCATGCTAAATATAACATGTTAACTACTTCACATAATACCGAGAGACGCTGCGCGTCGATTTCTCGCTGTATGGATGCAGGGAGACGCGAGGATCTCATGGCCCGGGCTACGAGACCAGGAACAAGTTTATTGGCGACATGCACTTTTACGACTTGAATATCAATGGGGAGGTGCACGTATCATATTCCTTGGCTGTTGAGAAATTATTAAAAAAAAAAAAAGAAGTAACGGTGACGATTTATTGTGTTATTTCCCAACCCTTGAGGAGAACCGCAAATTATTTTTCAGACGGTATTATATTCCTTGGTATTATTTTAATTAATTTGACAATTTTTTTTTTTTTTAATTGATGCAACGGACCTTCGAGTTTCATTTCGTTATCTGAAAATTATCCTTACCTGACGGAGGTATCTTATTCGACGGATAATAAGGGAATTAACGTGTCGTGCCTTTGGGGAATGTCGTAGAAGTTAAGAAGGGTCGTGAAGCTCGTCGACAGGATGAATTTGATACGCATCCTTAGGAGTCTCATAGGCTCCGAGGTATTCAGGCAGGCAGGCAGGCAGGCAGGCAGGCTATGAAGTCGATCGAAAGCGATCAGCTGGTAAGAGTGTGAATGGCGAATAAAGGAAATTTACGTGGAATGTTGAAGGGGTGTAATGGGCCAGAAGCTGCTGGTGCAGGAGGCGCCTGGCCCAGGGCCGGGTCCTGGTTCGGCGAATAGGATGGAAGGAGGCGAGGGCAACGGCGGCGGAGGAGGGGAGCTCCACCACTTCCTTCATCAGTACAACCAACAATCCCACAGTCCTGGCCAGAGCCTTCAGGGTGGTCTTCCGCTTCCGTTGAGTCCGCAATCGTTGCGCCACGACGGAACGTCCAGCGGCGGGATTGCCGGGGTCAAGAGGGAACCCGAAGACCTCAGCTCGTCCCGCGGGGGTCAGCAGTCGAACAAGCGGCACAAAATGGCCCAACCTGAGAGTCCGACGCCGCCAGGGATGTACCACCATCACCAGCATCAGTTACAGGTAAGGTCTAGGGCCACCAGGAGGAAGAGACCCTGGGGTACAGCGTCCGGTCATTCGCTGCCTACTTTAATCAGGATTTATCATGGTCCCTCGACCTTGGCCTTGGACGCTAGAACTCTCGCCTACGTGGTACCGTGGTGCTGACCGATGGAAAATTCATATGCGCCAACGATTAATCTTATCCTTGCCAGGTGCAGCAGCAATACGGCAGTCCGTACGATCCTTACTCATCCTGCAGTCCGCGATTGCAGTCTGCAGCTTACACCTCGACCTCGGGCAACCCTACGGGAAATGCAGCCAATCCGACGGCACTTCATCAGGAGGCCACTGCGGTCTACGTCACTGGCGATGCGCTTCCACCTTTAGCATCATCCAGCTCATCCTCGTTGTCCACGACAACCGCTTCGTACACGAGGTACGAGGTTGTACCGAGCTCTTATGCTACGACACACGCGATTCGCTCCTCCTCGAGCAGCAGCAAAGTGTTGACCGTTGATCTTCCCAGCCCTGATTCCGGTATCGGTGCCGATGCTGTCACCCCGAGACAAGATCATCATCCACCCACGGCTCTTCATCAGGTCAGTAGGAAAATCTTTTCCCGACCCGATTGCTCCACAATTTGGTATACAGCACCGGGCGTCTTTTCATGCGGAATTTAATAAGACTGGTGGTTAGCCTCAAGACGATGAATTAATATCGTGGCTGATCTTCCTGGGTAAAAAGTATCATTTTATTTCGCTTCTATTCCTGGACGCGTTGCTATGCAGAATGCTGACCTTCTTCTATCTTCTATCTTCTCGCCGAACGCCAATAGCCATTAAGTCTCCATAAAAAGTCAGTGACGCTTCGATTCGTGCTAACCGATAGTTACCGATGTTCACCGTGAAGTGCGTTGCGAGCCACTGACTATATGAAGACATAAAATACAAGAGACCTTCGGCCAACCACTTATTAAACCAGCAACATTAGGGCGCGTGTGAAGTATATGCGGTCGAATTTTACGAGACCGCAGACCTTCTTCTATCCGTTCACTTCCTCTTCTTCTTTCGTCTCGGTCCATTCCACTTCCCTATTATTCTTCTCTCGGCATCGGCCAGGAATGCATGCGCAAGGACGTCAGCGCGGGTCGCAACGATCTCGCGAAATAAAAGACAGCATCCAAATGGACCATACATAAGACTAATTGCTGTATTATCGTACACTGTCAATTAGCCGGTACTCCCAAGGGAGCTGTCAATTACCTCTCTTAAGACATTCATATGCATTAACAAGTCTTTTAACAAACTGTATCATAAAGCTATCGCTACTTCGATCCAAACCTCTAATTAGAGAAATTCTAGGAATAACATATCCTTAATCTCACGCTTACTCTTCTCCAGTCGTCCTTTGACTACACGGAACTGTGTCCTGGTGGACCAACCGCAGGCGCCGCAGTCGTACTCGAGAGTGGCGCCGTGATACATCATCAGCCATTGCAACTGCAATTGCAACAGAGCCACACGCAGGCGCAAGTGCAACGAGGTACACTGGTTGCCGCTGGAGCAACTAACCCAAACCCAAACCCTCCGAGATCCAGACCCTGGCATGATTTTGGTAGACAAAATGATGCGGACAAGATACAAATACCAAAACTGTGAGTACATATATCTATATACATACTTATCCCTAACGTTTCTGAATATACAGTATGGGCAAATTTTGTGGCAAAGAATTTTTCTAATACCCTCGCTAAAGGCAATTAGGTATGTAAACTACGCAATTGAAACGGTGCGATTGGCACGCACTGTGGAAGTCATAAGCCGTAATGCTAGGCAGCAATCAGAGCAGGGCGTTCACCCGCCATAGGCAGTTATCGCAGCCGAGTTCCAACGGTCCCGTTAAAAATTAAAATACGAAAGCGCACGACGTAACAGATATACGCAATATTGTTAAAAGTTTTCTGTGCGACCGATTGCGATAGGCTAACTAGGCAGGAAAGGTGTCTGTGTATATATATATATATACATCACAAGTGTATACAGTAGATAGGTACTTCCTCCGGATAGCCACACAGGAGACATTGTTTCTATATACAAGTGTCTTTGGTATTCCTAATTTTTCGTGATAGCATTGACTTTCCTCATACCAAAACAGGAAGCATTAATATTAATCTCTCTCTTATTATTTCTATTCCTTAAAGCTACTCGGCGTACGGATTCAAGTATCATCTGGAATCGCCCATCAGTACGTCGCAGCGACGCGAGGACGACAGAATAACGTATATCAACAAAGGACAATTTTATGGTATCACGTTGGACTATGTGCCGGATCCCGACAAGCCTCTGCTCAAGACGGGGCAGACAGTTAAGGTGAATATAAAAAAATATCAGTCGGATTGAGCCGTGACGATTCACCCGGTTAAATTATCAAATATATAACTTATTCGTATTCTTTCTTGATTACGAGTACTGGTCCGCGATTGATATCATTGATTTTTGTTAAATGCCTCTCACCTCCTGTACAAAAATGAAATACAGATTGAAATCGAATAAAATACGAATAAGACTCGCTTGTTCGCTCGGTGGGATATTAATTGACTTAATCGCACCCCGTTAGCCATATTCATTCTCATGCAAAGGCAATTTTTGCGGTGACGAGTATATGACTTCCTCGATAATTACAAATACAGGCTGTATCAACAGCATCAACTGCGATCTCTAATCAACGGTATATATACGTGTCTTTATACAGATTAGATAAAGCACTAGGGTCTATTAATACACATATAAATACTCCCCACTCTGTACAGTCTGCCTATGTATCTCTATATATAGACCTTCGCCCATTCACCCGAATCACTAAAAATTTAATCTATCTCGTGCAAGTGCATATACACATATATGCGTGTATGTAAATGCATTCTCGGTCTCCTTATACTGCAGTTCACTTGCATTCTATCTCGCACGCCAGATACGCCAGATCATTGGTACACTCGGGACGAAAAGGTCCTGAAAATTTAATATCATAATTTATTATATATATATATATATATATATATATATATATGTGTGTGTGTATATATGTATATCATAGTATATATTCTTCAAGCTGTACCGTCATCCTCGTGTCGGCTATACAGTTCTTGATGACTTTCCTCTTGCACTTTATCCCATGTATCGTGTTCTATTGTTCAGAGCGTTGTAATGCTGATGTTCCGGGAGGAGAAGAGTCCCGAGGATGAGATAAAGGCTTGGCAATTCTGGCACGGTAGACAGCACTCCGTTAAGCAACGTATCCTTGACGCTGGTGAGTCTCCATTCTTACATCCTGATAATTTCATGCCGTTAATATTATTATGAAACGATAAGGGTAAATTGCCAGTGCAATTATACCGTTAATATTTTCTGGCTTGACTGTAAAAAGCGGTATCCTCGTAATTCTGTGGTAAATATTGTTACGTCACTTTTTCCGCAAGCCTTCGGACCTAGTGATAAGAAGAAGATTATCAAACGGGTAAGAGAACCATCGGTGTCCATTGAACGTTATAAATAAATTACATCGTTATGGATATTTGATTATTATAAATATTTCAAAGGGATAAATTTTTACGTTAAACTTTGACTGATTGCAGATACTAAAAATAGCGTAGGTCTCGTTGGCTGCATCGAGGAAGTGGCTCACAATGCAATAGCCGTCTACTGGAATCCATTAGAATCTTCGGCCAAGGTAAGTTTGATATAATTATAATAAAAATGGGTCTTATCAGTAAACGATACTAAATGTGTATCTCTTGATAGATCAACGTGGCGGTACAGTGCCTGAGCACGGATTTCTCAAGTCAAAAGGGTGTAAAGGGTTTGCCCTTACATATTCAAGTAGACACGTACGAGGAGCCGCCGCCACATCCTCACTCTTATACTCCTCCGTCTCATAGAGGTTATTGCCAGATAAAGGTCTTCTGTGATAAGGTAATTGTTATTATCGGTATAAGTAGCAATGATCTGCGATCGCACAGCTTAGTACGTGTTGATACGTATGTTTGAATTTTAACGTAGGGTGCGGAGAGGAAGACGCGCGACGAGGAGAGAAGAGCGGCCAAACGAAAAATGACGGCAACAGGAAGAAAGAAGCTGGACGAACTTTATCACTCGGTCACGGAACGCAGTGAATTTTATTCAATGGCCGATCTTCACAAACCTCCTGTGCTCTTTTCGCCGCCCGCCGAACACGCCATTGATAAGGTACAGATCGTATTTTCACGAATGCCCCGCCACTAATACAGCCTACGTTATCTTCCGACGCGACCCTAACACACGGAACCATACTTGCCAATAGCGAGCAGCACCGATAAGGATCCTGTTTCGCCACAATGATAACGGAACTAACTCGTATGTTTTATCGTCCCCTATGCAAATTCATCCCCTGCTCTCAACGCCAAAACTCTCCATTAACCGCAACTCCGGCCTCGCGATAACAATGAGAGATTAGAAAAAAAATATATATATTGTCTTCAATCGAACAGATTATTCGGCACGAGCATAAATATATGCACATATACAATCCGCATAGAGAATTTTAATCAGTGCTCGAAACTTAAGTAGTGATAAAAAAGAAAGAAGATAATTGCAAACACAGAGATTCGCATGTATAGACTCTCTCGAATGTACAACCAGTGTTTCTTTTCACGACAGTTCTCAACGATGGAGTTGTCGGGATTCTACGGAGGTGGCGGCGGCGGGGGCGGGGGCGACACGGACACTTCATCCCTCAGTAACGGTGAGGGTGGAGGATTGAAGGCAGGGGGTAGCAGCCCTTATCCCGCGTGCGGCAGACCAAGCCTGCCAGCTCTCAAGTTCCACAACCATTTTCCGCCCGACAATCTGAGTTCGCTCCACGACAAGAAGGACTCGTTGCTGATGCAGGTGCAGGAGCTCCAGGGCTCGGTACTCCAGAATGTGCAGCAGGGCAACTTGGGCTCCGGCACGGTTGTCTCGGGTGTCGGTAACAGGCTTCACATGCAGCAGCAGCATTTGCGCGGCACCGACGCCGAGGAGCGCGTGATGCTCTACGTTCGCCAGGAATCCGAGGACGTCTACACGCCGCTTCACGTGACGCCACCGTCGGTCCAGGGACTTCTCAACGCTGTAAGAAACCATATGCACACATGCGCAGTTATCAGACCCATCGATATATGCACAATAAATAATAATGAACAGCCAGTAAACTCATATTCAGGATTCATATGTTTGCATACACACAAAGATACACTGAGAATGTCGATACTCTACCGATACATAATTACCTATTAGCGATACACGTAAGCATCATAAGCAGTCGTGGCGCATATACATGTAGCGATTAACCGATTAATCAATTCATCCTCATTCATTTGCCGCCCACCTTTGACCTCCACCATGCCCCCCTACTCCGTCCGCCCTCTCGACCTTCTGCCATGTCTCCTCGCGTATTCCACGTATCTTTGGTATGTATGTATGTATTACGTACACGGAGATGGATATGCCTATATACGGGAATATATGTATGTATATATATATATATATATTCAGGTATCGTTACGACGTATCAAACACCCACCAATGCATGTATACGCATACCGTACCACCATTAATATCCGTGCACTGTCTCATTCGCTAATTAATATTAATGCGCATGCGCCCAGAATTTTCCCTGTTTCCCATTGAAAAATGTACGCCAATAGCCATGCACCGATGGCCTCTCTGAAAAAAAAAAGCATTAAATGTTATGCCGATTATCGTGTGTGAGAGCTAATATTGTCCTGTCCAGTGAATCGACTGTGAAAAATTGTAAGATGTCGAATTTCGATTGGACATCGGACGGACATTAGAGTCGGATTAATATGGACTTTTGATTGGCGATGAATCCGATACGTGGAGAAAGTGAAAAAAGTGGAAAAAAAGAGAACTACTTTAAAGTAAATTTTCTAATATCTACTGTTCTTTTTCTTGTCTTCGTCGTATTCTTCTTATTCGTCTTGTTTCTTTTGGTGGTACTCATTAAATTCTCTTTCGATGACGCCTTCTTAGATGCGTCACTTGTGTCGTCGCGTTCTTTACGACAATTGCGAGCAACATACTCTAACGAAAGACCGAAAGAAACCTACTGTCAAAATTCTAATGTTCTACTTTTTTTCTATTTTACAGATTGAGTCAAAGTACAAAATTGCATCCTCGAGTATTAATAACCTCTATCGCAAAAACACAAAGGGGTAAGTTTAGTAGAGTGTCATCTTTACTTGCATGCGCGCCTGCGTAGTGCATGCTATAATGGTGACATTGGCTGACTTTACTGGTGGCAAATAGACACGATACACTTTACTACACGTCCTTTCAAACGTGATACGCAAGGCTGCACTTTAAAACGGAGAAAGAATGTTTCAAAAGTTCAAAATGCACGTTCAAACCAGTTAGCCCTCTTGCATGCGTATCTTACATGTGAATTTCTGAACTCCACCCTGAAAGGCCTGGCTCGCACTCATTTACCCCTTGGTGAATAATCATTCCACAATCCACGCTTCTCATGCATTCGTCATTATATACAGCGCATCGGACTAAACTCGTAACACTAATAAACTAATTGTATCTTCACTGCTAGAAATTCGTGCACGCGCATGCGCATGACACACGTCTAATCCACTGCCTATTTCCTATTGCCTATACACGCACTCCAGTCTCATTCGTATATCTACAGTCTGTTTCACTTGTACGTATCATATGTTACATCGACACGCATCACTGTCACGTATGCCTGACTCTTTATTATTCTATCTCGATCTTCATCCATAGAACGTTTCTAGGTTAGGATCCAGAATATGTCGATTGAGCCTTCAAACCTTCAATCTCAGCAAGCAAAACATCTGTCTGAGCTTGTCTCGTACCTTTTAATTATTATTTATTTATTATTTATCATATAATCCCTATTATACAGTACCGCGTATAGCTTTGATTTCGTATTTTGATATTATTGTGTCAATTTTAATCTTTATTAATATCACAAACTTTCACTGGTGTTTCAGAATTACAGCGAAAATTGACGACGACATGATACGCTACTACGTCGACGAGGATCTCTTCCTTTTGGAGGTGAGCCACTCGCACGTTAATTCCGATCGCAATCCCAATCCAGGATCACCGGGTGATCCTGGGGATCCTGGTGATCCGCCATCCGCTGGCTACGACGTCACTCTCATCGAACTTTCGTCTTCACCGACGCCATTACCGCCCTCGCCGCTTACCGTAACTGCGGCGCATGCGCACGCTCACAGCCATTCGCACGTCCACTCGCACGTACACGAGACTGGAAACACGTGAATGCGAGGCAGTTTTGTTTTTAATTCGTGACGATTTGTCGCGACTGTATATATGTAAAGGGTGCGGCGTCTGCCCACTACCCTGTGGAGTGTGAAAAATAATCGTCGCTCCAGGATAACGTGCCAATTCTGACGCCCGTGGATCCCGGGTTATGTGTCGTTTTAACCGCTGGAATTTAATTGGCCGTTTGCGCGATGAAAATCATTGCCATGAAGATCCGTCAGATCATTTGGAATGATGCGCGCGAGTGATCTCTCATGAAAGAGTCGTACCAATATACTGTTTTCTCGTGGAAACTTGTAAAAGCATGGAACTTAATAATGGGTGTTCTGCATGATGACAGTCGATGAATAATTGGATGTGACTGGAATCGATTATTCGTTGTCTCGTGGTGGGTTGTGGGTCGTGAATTTTCATTTAATCAGGATTATCGTATCCTGTGATTGTAGTTACTTGACGGCGAATGATATGCCGATGTTTGTTGATACGATTGGGTTGGTTGTATAAAACTTATACAGAATTAAAAGCTTTTATCATTACGGTTAAGAACCGACTGAGTTTCACATACGGTATCCGTTGTCGCAGAAATGGACGAGTCGCTTGCGGATTTGACATAAGGATTTGTTTTTTTTTGTTCGTTGGAATTTAATTTACCAAGTTTCCTCCAGATGCGTTCGTTTATGTGATTACGGATCTCTAGTGGTCATTGATTGGCAATTTTCACTTCAGTGATTCATTAGCGGCCTATAGGCAGGTGAGCAAATTCGTATATTCATATATTTTTTGTATAAATAGAATTTAGGCCTCATTCGATTGCCAATTTTTATTGGTACTGCTCTTTATCAATGGGTATCCATACTATATGTATATCCATTACCAAGCGTCTAGATTACGTATTCGGAACGATCGACTCGGCTGTCGGAAATCAGCTAAAGCGAATTATCATTACTCGGACACGATCACGTAACTAAATCAATCAAAATTGATTTAAGGTCTACATTATTTTAAGTCTACGTATGACGTATGTATATGAGATTTACAATTTTAAGCCTTTAGACTCCACGACAATATTATTAATGTATTTCTATCAGAATGAGGAAGTTCAGCGCGAGAAGGAAACTTTTTTTAAATTTGCGTGTTTTCCAAGGAAAAGAAAAAGAGGCGAAACGCATAAGATAATTAAATTTTCAATTACCGCGTATTTTTGCCATATCATTTTAATCGCGCATACGTGAATGAAAAAAAAAAAATCTAAACGATTGATTATCATGAAGCGGAATTATGTATTGGAGTTACGTAATCCACTCCTCGGATTAATTCGCTAATTTTCTCCCTGTTATCACATTTCCAAATAACGTTGAATTGTTCCTTGATCAATTTGAGTTACACTTTATTTGCGACGCCCTGTAAATACATAAATAGCTATCAATTACTAAAACAAACACAAGGACGCACGATATCGTCTTCCGTTTTTCAAAGTTCCCACATTCCTATATACCTGGTGTAAAAAAATTAATCAATCACAATCGATACTTCAATATCAAAAATATACGTCTGCCTGTCTTCGCCAACGAATTACTCTCGCATACCATCAATTTCGTAGCACGTGTATCGTACAGAAGCGAAAGACTAAAGTTCATACGAATTCGTCCAGCGAGCAAGGAAAATGGAGGAACTGAATTTTTCTATGTCTTAAGGCTAAGTTAACAAAAATTGTGTAAAACGTCACTTCACCGTGCATACCTTTTTCTTATACGTACCCCATTACCTATTCCGTAACTGTAAGAAAATCAGATCGAAAGATTAAAACGCACGACATCGATGCTCAGATTATTAATCAATGTCGAGAAGAGCGAGCGAATGCGAGAAGTGGCATTTAATATACGGAGATGAATAATTTGTTATCGTTCCCAGTGCACGTCTGTGGCTCTCAAGATTTTCGACAGAGATAACGTACGAGAGAGACGTCGAGGAAAAAAAAATATATATTTTCATTTCTTTCCGAAATCAATTCTTTTATTTCCCGAGGGAGAGTGGCAAAGAGAGAGACGATGACGTCACTGGTATCGAGCCTTGCCTTGTTATTGCGATATATACGTTACTTTTAATAACGATTACTTGTTGTTAGAATACTAGTGCTAGGTTAGGCTAGGACTAGATATCACATTAAAAAAAAAAAACACTATTTTAATCATACGTACGTCGTACCGATATCAAAGCAACGATCAAAATACGCTTGTAAAATGCATATTATTATTGATACTATATTTTGTTACATTTATTACAGACAGCATAGATATTATAATATTGTCTATTGACTAGAGCATAGTAATTACCTATATTGTTATTTTTATACATATACACAGCAGAGGTCCGTTAGGCCCATGATTATTCGTGTTGGTCCATGACATTATGATTACCGCTCGATCGTATTCGAAATCGAATTAAAAGGATGTTGAGGAAAGTTGAGCTCGGCCATGTTTTTTTTTTTTAGGTCCTAGTATCAAAGCTTCGTAAGTCCCTGCGAGATGAGACGGTCCCGCGGGAGGTCCAGATCTCTTGAATCTTATATTTAAAAAAAAAAATACATTCCGCACTCTCGTGGCTGCGATTTCCGCACGCGTTACCGTACCGATGTCCCAATGACTTTTCGCCATGATAATTCGCGAAACTTTATCTGAGTCATCGAAAAATGATTTCGCGGAAGGATCATTGCGCATTGCGTGACGAGCATGTATCATTATATACGCGGGGTTTGATTTTATAAGCACGGCTGCGCCTCGGTAACGCGTTTACCTTGTTGCGACGGACTTAAACAAAGCGTCGGGACGCCGACGCATTTACGCACAGTAGGAACCACTGTAGAACGCGATCGATCTTTTATATTGAACAACCCGTAGGCTTAGCGATTAAAGATATATATATATATACCTATATAGTCCTATAGGTTGATATGATGTATAGTCGAGCGAATGATCGATACCGATCGAGAGGAGTTTATTACAATGGAAAAAAGAAAAAGAAAAAATACGAAATAATGAATGATTGTCGCGACGTCTTGCCATCGTGAGATTGTGCCAGAGGTGATATTATATTATTATGATTTTTATTGCAACAATAAATATTATATTAGTACGTTTTATAAAATACCGTAAGAATTATTATTAACATTACGTATCAGTTTAAGCTGAATACATTATTAGATATTAGATATTATTATTATTATTATTAACATTATTGTCATTATCGATCATCAATTGTCGATCGTATAACACGACCATTGATCATTACGAATCTGTTATCGACACTCGTTACGTTATAAACTTGCAGGCCTATCCGATCCTACGCGCGTATCCTTGTATTGTTGTATCCACTCTCTCTCTCTCTCTCTCTCTCTCTCTCTTTCTTTATCATTTCCTAACTTTTCCTCTCTGTCTTCATTTTTTAATCGATTTCATTTTATCCCACGTCGTTCACGCATGTACATTGTCGTATCTTTCATGATTTTTTTCTTGCGAATTCAAAAAAATATATTTATAGGAATTTATTTCGCGGACGCTTCTGAACCGGCCAACCGATCCCACGGAGGCAGGATGCGCTCACGAATGATTTTAAGGACGTTGATAATGGACCATAAATACCATACGGACACTTCGTATGACTTACGTAAGATCATAAGCATCTTTGATCCGAAAAAAATGAAAAAATCACGGATTTCAATTTTTGCGTATTGCAAGCGGTAAACTATGTTGCGATAGTCTCCTTGACGTTCAGTCGTTTATTCGCCTGCGATTGAAGATGTGGGAGATCGAAGGACACGTCAATCGGATGAATTACGGATATTAATTATCGTTATGTAGCCGTTACGAATATATCGGCCGGATTTATTTACTCGGCTGATCGGGCTCTGGATCTCTTCTCTACTGTTGATCTTACCATTGCCTACTGTACCTACGTATCTACGTGTGTATATATATATATATATATATATATATATATATATATATGCGTATATAGAGGATCGGATGTTAGTGATTTCAATGACGTCGAAAAACTTATTGATTTGACTTCGATTAAATCCAGTGCACCGTATGACAAGTATTAT